AGGGTGTATTCACACCTGTCTTGTTTGGTTCGATTGAATCGACCTCAAGTTCGTTTCCCCCCTTGGTGCGGATCTTTTGGGCAGGTGTGAATACAGCAATCGCACTCGAGTGCAGACCAAACAAAAGCACCGAAACCCAGCTGAAGAGGTGGTCTCGGTCCGGTTCCAAACAAACTCTGGTACGCTTGAGAATTTCTGTCCAATGAATGGATGACCTTAGCACACGTGTGGATTTGTTTACAATTTCTGGTTCACTTGCAAAAAGGGCAGTGTGAAAACAAGCCACACCAAACATCAGCATTGTATTTGGTCTGGACCAAAGCAAGTGAACTAGCGGACTTTCCTGGTGTGAATACACCCCTAAGTCTGGGCTCTGACTATAGGCCATGCAAGGACATTCACCTTTTTCTCCTTCAACCTCAGTTTTGTGCTTTGGATCATTGTCATGTTGGAAGGTAAACCTTCTTCCCATTGACAACTTTCTGGCAGAGGCCAGCAGATTTTCCTCAAGAATTTGACAGCATTTTGCCCCATCCAATTTTAGTCTCATCTGCCTCAGAATCTTCAAGGTGCATTTTGGCAAAGCTCAGTCGTGACTGCATGAGGCCTTTCTTGAGGAGTGGCTTTTTTCCATACAAGCCACATTGTTGAGAACTTGTGATATTGTTGTCGCATGCACACAATGACCATTCTTTATCATAAATTCCGGCAACTGCTTCAGAGTTGCTGTTTGTATTGTTTGCTTCAGCTGCACTACCAAGGACTGAAATGCTCCAGGGCAGTGTCCGAAATCGCACAGCCCTAGAAAGCTCTTTTCATGCTGATTTGATCAAAATGAGCACAGCTGATCACAGCTGAAAGACAAATGGCTTTGTGTGCCATTGAGAAGGTGATTAGCAACACCTGACTGAGTTTACTTATTTTTTTCATGAGGGGGTGATTCCATTTTATTTTTTTCCTGACATGTTGGTGTTATATCTTTCACTTGGATGTTATACTGAGTAAATACAGCTGGATAAAACAAAAACTGTGTCCGTCTTCATTTTAGGCCGCAAAGCAACAAAATGTGATTATTTTAAAGGGGTTGAATATTTTCTATACCCACTGTGTGTGTGTGTTAGAAAATATAATTTATTATAATTTGTTACAAAATATTTGTTATATTGTTTTTTTAACAACACGTGATATGGTATGTGCAATTCAGAAAGATGCAATGATCCTACAAACAGGGTTTATTATGTTTATGTAATTAATACAATTTAATTTGTTTTATATTTACTTTTTGTTGTATTTTGTTATATATTATAATTTGTCATATTTTTATAACAAACATAATTTGTCATAAAGTATAATTTATTATAGTTTGTTACAAAATACTGTATAATTTGTTATACTGTTATATAATTTTTAACAACACTTAGATAAATGGTCATATGTATCATTATAACTCATTATAGTTATTTAAAATAAATTATAGTCCATATGATAACTCAAACTAATGTCTCACCTTCGGGCTCTTCTCAGGATTGGTTGTTTTTTTCCCTGCAGGTGAAACATCATTCGTAACATTGTACGCTCCCGGTCCCAGCACATATGACACCGCGTCATCAAAGCGCTTGGAGCGATTCTGAAGACTGTTTCCTCCCAAAATATGATTCTGCAATATTCCAGTTATGAGTTTGCACTCATCACTTACATGTTAACTGATTGCACGGTGATGTTAAAACCATAACGTACCCTGGTAATGTCACTGTTGTACTGTCCTGGCCCAGGAGAGAGGAGACCACTGCCTGACCCCAGGAACCCAGACTCTCTACTGGACAGCGAGAGGAAGGGGGCATACGAATCTGGAGAAACGGATTGAAAATTATTCTTACAAATAATAATATGAATATGAATATAATAATAGTAAACATATATTATTCTTATAAATTTAAAAAGTCGCATTAATTTAAGATTATAGTTCCTCTAAAGTGTTTTATGGCGCACACACACACAAAAAAGAAATGTAATGTTTTGGCTGCTAAACCGAAAACTAGTTCATCCGCGCCGGTGTGTGGCGCTGCGCGCACAGATCGGCTGTTCACGAACCTGCCCGAGGATCCCCGAAGAACCGTAAACAAAGAGATCCAGTAGAACAGGGTCACGGAACCACAGCTGGCGCTGCTAAAAACATCAGCTGTAAGTTGAAATCGCATATTCTGTTTCTCTACACTTGAATACAGTAACGGGAGCGCGGAGAACTCATCGTCGTGGCACTTTTGTCTGTTTTTGTGTGTCCCGCAGTGAAAGCAGGACACGTTGTTGGTCGAGCATGCCCAGTAACACAGCTCAACTCCTGGAGTCAGACGATACTGAACCGGACCTCCCAGTACCGGTACAGAACCTGAGCGGGTTGAGCCTCCGGGATGATGAGAGTCCATCAGAACTACATGATACTTCTCATCTGGGTGTCCTGGGTGCGGTATTGGACCTCCAGCCCTTATCCCAAACTGGATCAGAGGAGGAAAACACCACCACCAGTAACAATAGCAACATTATCAGACATGATGCTGATCTGGACCAGCTGAGGGCCCGGGCCCTCACAGCCGTGGAGGCACCGGGGACCGGTGGGCTCTTCCAGGACGGGCCGGGCGAGTCCCAGGGTTACCAGGTTCAGGGGAGTATGATGATGGCGATGATGATGATGCAGGAGGGTGAGAGGTGTGCACTCAATACCAGGAGGAAGAGCGTGAACACAACAGAGTGTGTGATGGTGGCCACATCTGAACATGTGGCGGAAATAGTTGGCCGACAGGGTGGGTTTGTTTGATCGTTAAGGTTTCATGTTTGATATTCTAATATTGTGACTCATCTTGGCTCACTTTTTAACAGTGTTCAACAGTAAGGAGGCCAGTTGGATTAGTGATTCATATTTGTACTCGCCCTTCTGATTTTCACACCTCACCTTATGAAAAATAAATAAATAATAATAATTTTACACACATATATATATATATATATATATATATATATATATATATAAACAAAAAATAAACAAAATAATTTAATCAGTAAGAGAGTTTTTTATAAGCACAGGTGCAACTCATGGTTTATATATAATTAACAAAATTATTAATACAATATTATTAATTATATATGTTATCAGTAATACATATATATATGCATATAATGCCGTATTATTAATAAAATAATCATATTAATATAAACATTTTAATATTAATATTATTTTACCAAAATATTTAGTTAGAAAAAATATATTTTGTATTTTTCATTAAAGAGTAAGTTTAGTTACCAAAAAGTTTTAAATTCACCAGATTTCAGACGGTAAAAAAAAAAGCTAGCCATCTTTTTTTAGTATATTTTGATACCGGAATTAACTTTGAACCAGGGTTATTATAGTTAACTCAAACTGAAACCACTTGAACAAAAATAAATATCTGAAATAAAATAAAACCTTTTTTATTTCAGTTAGTTGGTATCATTTCTCATTTTAATTTAGTTTAACTAAAATAACTAACTTGATATACTAAAATAACTAAAACTGAAATAAAAATTCATAAAAGACTAGATGTATATATAAACTAGATAATAATAATAATAATAGACATGTATAAATAAAACAAAAACTACTAAAAATGGCAAAAAACAACAACACAATTACTAAAACTAACTAAAATAAAAATGCAAAATATAAATAAAAACTGATTCAAAATATTTGCAAACATTTTTAAAAGTTTTTTTAAGTTTAAAAAAAGACAACTTTATTTATAATATTAGTAATAAGCCTGATCATTAATCATAATTATTTGTAAATTGTGTGGGCCAATTTCTCAATATCAGTGCATTCATAATGAAACCATTATGAAAATGGTTTTAATAATATATGGTTGCATTGACCTCATTGAACTGCATGTGCCATGTACAGCTACAGAAGATTACAGCTGCCCCACTTATCTGTAATGACGTGATGTTTCTTCACTGAACTGCATGAAAACAAGTTGCGTAATACTAACAAGTGAACTAACACACTGACAAGCCCTCTTACTATATCAAGTATGTTAGTATTGACCAATCAGCATCCAGGACTGCTCTAATTACTCCTGAGAAGAGATCACTTGTCTATCACTGCGATTGATTGATTGATTGATGTCTTCTTAAGCTAGGAATGTGTTGACTTGGCTTTGTATTTCTGTTCTCCTCAGGTTGCAAGATCAAAGCTCTGAGAGCAAAGACCAACACTTACATTAAAACCCCCGTGAGAGGAGAGGAACCAGTGTTTGTAGTGACCGGCCGGAAGGAGGACGTCATTATGGCGAAGCGTGAGATTCTGTCCGCGGCCGAGCATTTTTCCCTCATCCGGGCGTCCCGGAATAAAGTGGCACCGACAAACAGCATTCCTTGCCATCCGGGACAGACCACCATCCAGGTTCGGGTGCCGTATCGAATGGTAGGGCTCGTGGTGGGGCCGAAAGGAGCGACTATCAAGAGGATCCAGCAGCAAACCCACACCTACATCGTCACGCCAAGCCGTGACAAAGAACCGGTGTTTGAGGTGACCGGGATGCCTGAGAACGTAGACCGAGCTCGGGAGGAGATCGAAGCCCATATTGCGATGCGAACCGCAGGAAGCGTGGACACCAACATGGATGATGATGACTTCCACTACAACGGCACCGACGTTGGTTTCGAGTCGGGCGGCAACGGAGCATGGCTCTTCTCCGGCGGCGTTTCAAACTTCCACAGCAACGCCGCGGGGTATCGCAACGACAGCTCCAGCTCGCTCGGAAGCAACTCTAGCGAGTCGTACTACAGCGGGAAAGGCAGCGGAGTGGCGGATCTCAGTCCCGGCAGCAGCGGAGGCACATTCTGGTTTGGCGATTCCCAGTTGCCCTTGGGATCCGAAGATCCTGCGGGATACGACGGGCTAACGATGACGGCGCCGTCCACCAATCCGCAGCCGACACTGTGGGGCGCTTTCGAGCGGGGAGGCGCGAGTTTGCCCACTACGCCGAGGCTCTCTCCGTCCCGTCTGTCTCCGTCTCTTCCGGAGGATCATCCGCTGGTTCGGTTGGTGCAGGAGAATTCCCAGAGCCTCCCGGCCTTTGGTTCCGCGTTTTCTCCGTCTAGCGACAGCACGGGCTCCAGCTCTCCGCCGGACGTGCGCACTTACCCCAAACACAGCCAGGCTCCTGCGTGCGTACGTTGCGGAGACAACATGGCGGCGCTTGTCCTGGGCGGGCAAAACCTTGTTTGTTTGGAGTGTTCCAACTCCATCCTGCAAAGCGCGTAGAGAGAGAGGAAAAAATTGGGATCTCAAGAAGTAAACTCTTTTAATTTTTTACATTGAAATACTTCTTCCTTCCGTATTACGCTTAAATAACTGGGAAATGCAGGTTTTTGTTTAATAACCACAGTTGAGTTCATCTCAGAGATTTGCGTTTAGCTGCTACGTCGTTCTTACGGCGAGCGGCGCTGGGGTTTAGCAGTGCTAAATTGCTATCACCTGTGTTTTTTGTTGTTTTGTTTTCAAGGTATAGACTGTGTTTACATTTTCATGTGCCTGATTCCATGACGCTGGTGGGGTGGATTGGCGACTTTGCTGCAAAATTTTCTGTGACCTTTAGTTTCTGTTTCACAACACTAGAGTCGAGCAGCATGCGATCATAAAGAGCCGTCCTGAACTCTTTGAACATCTCCATAAACATTACGAAATTTAAGGGCATTGCATGTCATCATTAAAGGAATAGTTCACCCAAAAATGAAAATTTGCTGAAAATTTACTCACCCTCAGCCCTTTCAAGATGTAGAGGAGTTTGGTTCTTCATCAGAACAGATTTGGCGAAATTTAGCATTAGATCAGTTGCTCACCAATGGAGAAAGCAATATTATGGATAGAGGACTCCTATTTTAGCCCGCAGCAATGGTTTGAAGTTAAAACGCCTTCATGATGGATTTGTTCTTATAAATGCACAGCTTTTTCCCTTCAAAATGAACTGGAGTGGTGTGGATTATTGTGATGTTTTTATCAGCTGTTTGGACTCTCATTCTGACGGCACCCATTCACTGCAGAGAGTGAGCAAGTGATGGAATGCGTGTACACATTTAATTTCTCCAAATCTGTTCCCATGAAGAAACAAACTCCTCTATATCTTGGATGGCCTGAAAATGACAACATTTTCTGCAAATTTTCAATTTTGAGTGAACTATTCCTTTAAACATGAGCAAAATGAATTTGAATTTGTTAAACTGAACACGTTAAATTACATGCAAGTAATTTTTAGATAAATTTAAACATTGGTTATGCTTGCGTTTCAAATGAATTTCGCATTCAATTCATGTTTCCATCCACATATTTGTATACCAATTTTGGGATAACGTATACAAAAGCTGGATGGAAATGCCAAGATGTGAAAATTTCGAAAATGCACATAGAAAACATAGACGCTCAGTTGAGATTCCTCGTTTTTTTTGGTCGGGAATAGAACGTGCACAAATTATGATGGAAAAACATTTACCAAATAAATAGCTGGATGCGCAATAAAAAAAAGTCAGCACAAAATTGCTTTCCAAAACATCAGGCTTCCCCAGTTGCACCAATTTTTTATTTTATTACTCATACGTTGCGCCATTTTCCCAGGAAGTTAAGATTTTATTCTCTTCAACACATGGTATGGAAACAGTGCTTTATTCTCAAATGTTTTATGCAATATTCCAATTTTTCACACAAGTTTAATTTGCAACTTTTGATGGAAACATTAAAGGGATAGTTCACCCAAAAATGAAAATGTGATGTTTATCTGCTTACCCCCAGGGCATCCAAGATGTAGGTGACTTTGTTTCTTCAGTAGAACACATACAAAGATTTTTAACTCAAACCGTTGCAGTCTGTCAGTCTTATAATGGAAGTGAATGGGAATCACGGCTTTGAGAGTAAAAAAAAAACACAAACGAGTATCAATGGTCCACTTGAGAGATAGGTGGCGGTTATGCACTTAAGTCTGCCATCCGCCGTAAAGCAAGAAGAAGACGACGCATCACGCGCCGGCTGTCGAGAACGCGCTCAGGACAGTTCAGACATTGCGGTGAAGTCTTCTTCTTGCTTTACGGCGGATGGCAGATTTATAAGTGCATTACCGCCACCTATCTCTCAAATGGACCTTGACTTTCATTTTTGGGTGAACTATCCCTTTAACTAGAGTGACGATGCACGTAAAAATATGAACAATTGTTTCATGCACGAGGCCCTTTTTCGTAAGTTGCATTATAGGCCTAGTATTTGTTGGTAACGACTCCTCTCATTGCCTTAAATGAATGGGTCCTGCCGGGCCATCACAGGGTGTCGTACCGAGAGGACCTGAGAGGAGCGATTTTGTTGACGATAATGTGGTATAAACTTCTCCAAGTGTAGGCTGACACGGCTACTTACACCTTTTTTTTTTTTTTTGCAAACACCACTAAACTCAGAGAAACTAAGGCATTAGAGATCCATAACCTCTCAAGATTCACCTTGACAGTTTTTTTTTTTTTTTTTTACAATTTTGTAGTATTTCTGTAGTTTATATTTCATATTCAAATATATATATATATATAAAGATTTAAGATATATATTAAGACTATCTGGCGAGCAGTCAGCTGCCGTAAGTATTAGCTTGTAGAGTATTGATGTTAGGTACTATAGAGCAGGAAAGAGCACACCTGCATGATTTATTATCTATTCCTAAACCGCAACAAAAAAAGCCAAGGATTAAATATAGATATATATATATATATACACTGCATTAGGTCTAAATACTACCACATTATGAACAAAATTAAAGTCCTATGTTAAACATGACTAGGAATTGTATGTTTATCGGTGGGATTTTTTACCATCACACTGCAACTATGTTTCTGTATTTGACAATTTTACTGTTCTTTTATTATGTATATACATTTATGCAGGGACATGAAGGCATATAAGTTGTATTCTTAAAGTTTAAAATATATTTTATGATAAATGGCCTTGCTGTCCTGTGGCCAGAGCACTGATATTATATATTTGCTGTAAAAAAAAGAATCAAGATTTTTATTTTTCTGATATTAAAAGTTCCTTAATAAATTGTTTCATTTAAAACCTGTGCTTAGTGTTTGTGTGATTGGAGTTTTACCTTCAACTAGCTTCAGTCGAACTGTTGTTGCAAGAATGAATCTATGAATAAAATATTGAGATATTTGATGAAATTCATGAAAAACACAAAGATTGGTAATATAGTTCCCCCTTATGAAAAATTGCCGTGGTAACCACAGTTTCAGCCAAAACACAAGTTACCGCAGTCATAATTGAATTGATTTCAGTACAGTGGAAGCTGTTGCATTAAACTGTTTTACCGTGGTCAATTTTCAGCCTCATGGTAATCTTTACAGCCTCTGATTTATATAGTAACCAAACATTAAAAAGTACAAACCAGATTGTCACATTTAATAGTTCCAGAGAGAATATTTGCATTGTTAAATGACTGAGTAATGAAATATTACTGTATTCTCATATCTACAGTACTGTAATAGTATGTTTCAGTCATATAGTGATTTCAGTCTACTGTCGATCAGATAAAGTCATTATGCTGATGAAAAGCACTAATAAGTGAAGAAACACACTGGAAAATCTCCATCAGCCTGAACAACCTGCTCAACTAGTCGCTCATTCAGCCGTCTCTCTAGTTGACACACAGGCTGTGTTCAGAATGGAATACTAGTGCACTACACAGTATATACTGCATACTGGTTTTTAAATATGTGAAACAGTTTGTAATATACAATGCTAAACACTTCAAACAGTATTTGTTTTATTGTTGTCACCTTGTGCCAAGTTGCATGTTTAATTCCGCAAGTGGCATCCAGAATGCACTTGTTTTGCATTTGTAATCTAATTTTTATGTAATAATATCTTCAACTTTTGAACTTCTGATCAAATACTGAGTCAAGAATGAGAAAAATGTGCCTTATACTGCTTCAATATTACCATTTGGTATGTTTATTACTCTAGTTTAGTCACACTGAAAATCCATCAAATCGAGCATTATGCATTGTGCTATATGATCATGAACAATACTGCATGCTGCCAAAATAGTAGCATGCCATTCTGAACACGCCTTCATATTCAATACTGTTGCCTCTTAAATCTGTTCGATTATCACGTTGCTCCTTCTCCATGCCAACATGAACATGCAACACTAAGAAGAAAAGATACAAATGCACATACAATGAGAAGACAAAACTGGTTAGTACAATAAAATAATCAGTATTAACCATATCTACCCCACCTGGGCTAAACGGAGGGAAAGTTTTATACAAAAGACAAAATGCACTTGGCTCCATCTCAAAGAAATCATAATTCATGTCTTCTAATAGTCTAAATTTCATTTTGACTGCACTCAGTTTGAGACGGAGCCCTTCCAGGGAAAGTTTAGTGAAAATCTTTACAGGTGATAAAAAGTAACCAAGTGCTTGATATAAATTAGTTATTAAAGTTATAGAAAAATGCTAAATAAAAAAAATAAACACACAAAGGACAATATTCTGGCCACATACTCACTACAAAGATTTGGAAGTGACAATAGAGTTTTCTTGAATCCTATAAGTTACTGTCCCACATGCCTCATTCATCAAAAACAAGCTGAGCGTAACAAGCCGAATTTCTGCGTGAACTCTCCATTTCTAAATATGAAATGAAATTGAATATGTAAATTGCTTCGGTTTCTTATTTCTGTGTTAATCGTGTGTGTATATATATATATATATATATATATATATATACACACACACACATAAATAGCTGAAATACATGAATTATGTGAATTACATAAAGAATAGTTTGTAAAACTATTTTTAGTTTAACTGTCACATTGAATTGAATGCAACAGTTTGAATGCAACTAGAATTTCAGTGTACATTTGTAAAGCAATTCTTACATAAATCTATAGAGGAATGCTTTAATGAAACAAGCTGAACGAATGTTTGTAAAACCATTCTTATACAACTTGTTGAACTTGTTAAATACAACAATTTACGTAATCCCGAATTTCTGTATAACTTCTGTAAATATGAGAATGGTCTCATTCATGAAACTATTCTCACGTAAAATTGCTCCATTCAATTTAAAGGTGGGGTAAGTGACTTTTCAAAAACGAAAACTGATTTTCAGTTTTAGAACGGACATTAGCGAGCCTAGCGACAGAAAGATAGAGATGGCGGATAAAAAACAAAAGAGGAAAACGTCTGCGGAACAAAAGAAGGCTTAAGGCAAGAAGTAGGACCCGTGTAAATATAGGATCAGCTTTCCAGCTCTGGAGACAACTCAAGGAGCGGAAGGCCTGCGATTGGACGCCGAGGTTGCTTTGTTTCTTCTCGATAGGTGAGTAACACTGTGTCTGCGCCGCAACAGCTAAAGTCTGTCTAGTACACTGGACGAGACAAAGCGACTGTTGAAAATCATTTGAAATTTGTGTCAATACGTCATGAATAGAACGCAGCAGCAGTTTTCTGTCAGGGATTTGTC